GGGGGGCGGGGAGGGGGTTCGCATGGTTTTGTCGTACGCTGTCAGTTTTAATTGCAACATCCAACCAACCATACCCTTTAACTTTCCTGTGTTTCACCTACACCAGTGATGGCGAACCTATGACACGCGTGTCAGAGGTGACATGCGAACTCATTTTTTTGGTTGATTTTTCTTTGTTCAATGGCATTTAAATATATAAAATAAATATCAAAAATATAAGTCTTTGTTTTACTATGGTTGCAAATATCAACAAATTTCTATATGTGACACGGCACCAGAGTTAAGTTAGGGTTTTTCGAAATGCCGACACGCCGAGCTCAGAAGGTTCGCCATCACTGCCCTACACGGTGGCTTCTGACCCTCTTACTTCCTTTAAATCCAAATGTGTTCATTAAACACAGAAGCAAACATGGGACTATGTCGTATCTGCCCCGTGGCCGTGCCCAAGCATTTACATACCGAAATGCCTACCTACTGTGTAGGTACATTGTGTTAAATTTCATTTCCGTTTCACAAGGAAAATGTGAGAAAATATTAGAGGAAGAGAGCCTCTGTCCCACGCCCACGCCAGCCACGGCCGGATGGTGAGATAAGCGAGGAGCTGCCGCCACCTGGTGGCGGACGTAGAAACGGCAGGCGGGCCCCAGGGGAAGAAACCCCTTCCCGCCCAGGAATCTTCCTGCCCAGCCTCGCTGCTAACTGTTCCAAACACGCCTTCCACTGCCACCTCCCAGACCCCCCGGGGCTCGGTGTTTGACGCTTCCTTCGGGGCTGCAGAGATCCAGGAAAGAGCCCTGGCTGAGAGGTGGGAGCCCTGAGTACTGGCCCCCCGTCTGCCACTAACTTGCTGTGTGACCCTGGACAAGGGCACTGCCCTCTCTGAGCCTTGCTGTGTGGGGTGAGGCAAAATTGGTCTCCGAGGACCCTTGAGGGCTGCCGCACTCAACCCTCTCAACCAGGAGCAACCAGGTTCTCCTGCAACCTGTCCTCTGTGCCCCCTGCTCACGGGGCCACCTTGGGGGGGGTGGCAGAGGGCAGGACAGTCCTCCTGGGGGCCGAGGGCTGACAGGCTGGCCTCCTGAGCTGCTATCCCAATCCCGTGTTCTTGTAAGGTTGCCATGAGCCCCTGATCCAGGTCCACATGCCAACTACCCACTCTGCTGTGAAGGTCAAGTCTGTATTCACTCCAAAAATAGAACTCTTTTCTTTTTTAAATTGGTGTTAGAGAGGGAGGGAGGGGGGGGGAGAGAAACATTGATGAGAGAGAGCATCCATTGGGGATCAGGCCTCAACCCAGCCATGTGCCCGGACCCGGAATCAAACCACCGTCCTCTTGGTGCATGGGTCGGTGCTCAACCACTGAGCCACACGGGCCAGGCAAACTCCTCTGCTATTAAACAAGCCCCAGACCCAATCTTCCCAAAGGCTAGGAGCTCCGAGGGCAGTGCCGGCTGCCTCTCTCCCTGGGACTCCCTGGGAGCTGGGACTGGCACGCTCCCTGATGGGCGGTTCCCTGAAGGTGGGGGCAGTTTCTCCCCCTCTCCCTTCCCCACCTCCAGACTGGGGCTCCCTGACACAGACCAAGGGCTTCCTCAGAGCAGACCTGTCTCCGGCCACAGGGTCTCAAGGACCACAGCACAAGAGGCCCCCAGGACTCACATCGGACCCCCCGGACCCAGTCTTCTGCTTAGATGCGGAGGGAAGGCAGTGAGGCAGCCAGGCTAAGGCAGGTGATGAATAACTAGACTTTTTTCAAAATCCAG